CCCCGCCGTTGCCCGGGACCGCACCCGCTGCCGCGGGGCCGGACCGGTGACGCCGGGCGGGACTACAATTCCCGGCGGACCGCGCTGCACCCGCCCCGCCCCGTGCCGCAGCGGCGGGCGGGCCCCGGCTCCCGCTCCCGGTGCAGGTGGCCGGGCCGCAGCCGGACGCGCCGGAGCCCGGTAAGAGCGCGGCATCGTTCTCCCCCTTCCGTGACCTCCCGGCGCCGTTCGGTTCCGCCGCGGTGGCCACGCTGTCTCCCCGTGGGCGGTCGGGCGGGGCCGCCGTGGCCCAGGGTCTCCTCATGGAGAGCCGCGGCCCTGCGGGCGGTACCGGGGTTCCTTAGCTCCCCGGTCTCCTGATGAGGTACCGGGGCCCCTCGGTCTCCCGGTCTCCTCATGAGGTACCGGGGCCTTTCGGGCTCCTCATGATGACTGGGGCCCTTTGGCCCCCCGGGCTCCTCCTGAGGCACCGGGGTTCCTCAACCTCTCGGTCCCTTTATGCCCCCCCCCAGTCTCCTCATGAGGGGCCGCGGCCCTACTCCTCCGCGGGCTGCGGGGCTCCCCCCGCGGATACCGGTCTCCCCGGGCGGTTCCCGGGCCTGGCCGGGGTTAGGGGAGGAGGGTCCCGGCCGCAGCCCCGCTGTGAGGCCCTGATGGGCCCTCCGGGTCCTTCTGCTCCCTCAGATGGGGCTGGGGATGAGCCCACCAGCCCCGGGGAAGGAAGGCTCATCCCCGTCACCCTGCCCAGGCCCAAGTCGGGGTGGGGACAGGTGCCTCCCCAACTGTTCATGGTGGAGAGATGCTTCTGGGGATCTCCTGGCCCTTAGTGCTTGACCATTAGCGCTGGGGCTTCTCGGAGCCTGGTCACCAGTGACCTGCTCCCCAGGGCCGGTCCCTCTCCTCGGGTCTCTGTGCCCCCGGGTGATGGATCCCTGCGGTTTGCCTTTTTGCCCGCTGGCTGTGGAGCTACAGGCAGGTCTTAATTTTCACTGTGCTGATGCAGCTAGACAAGACCTGAATCCTTAACAGCAGGGCTGGAGGTCTCTGGCAGTAAGGCACTGGTTATCTCTTGGTAATCTCTCACCGGTGCAAGGCAGAGATGCGAGCAGAGGATAACAGGGGCCTGTCTGGGCCCGTCTTGCCTTCAAGTGGGAGATTAAGCACCTTGCTGCCCACACAGAGTGTGGATCCCCACCACTGGCTCTCCATGGCTGTCTGTCTGATGTGAGAGCGTAACCAAGGGCTCAGGTCTTGGCCAAGGCGTAGTAGTTTGATGGTGATCTAAGAGCCGCCCTGTTTAACTGCAGAGTGGGGGCTCCTAGGCAAAAATGCAGTGGGTCCTGCCGTGTTAAAAGGCTGAGGAACTGTGTTGTGGGACCTCAGGGCTGGAGGGTGTTGAGTGGAGAGAGCTCAGAGGCCACTGGCACGAGTGGGGATCTCTGGGCAGGGGCTGCAGAAGGAGGGATGTCCCCTGGCCCCCAAACAGGAGCGGTGTCCTGAGTGCTGGTGCATCCCTGCCTGCTGTTGGTGGCACAGCTTGAAGGTGAGACAGCCTGTGTGACATGCCAGGGCATGGTGACCACATGGTACTTCCCTGGTTTGCACCCTGCTAGCATCTCGTACCAAATCCAAAGAAGCTCCCTGGAACTGGGGGAGCTTCACTGAAGCAGAGGGAAAGCTGCAAGTGTGGCTCCTGGCCTTGCCAGCTATGGCAGAGCTCACTCAGGGCTGCCAGCTTTGGAGCAGTGAATCCACCTTCAAGAGGGAAAGGGAAATGATGTGAATGTTTCCTTCCTCTTCAGCCTATGTCTGGTGCCAGGAAGTACCAGTTTTATCTAGGAGCCCTTGAGCTACAAGGGTCACATCACTATCACTTTCTTCTGCCCCATGCTGTTGCCCAAAAAGAGCCTTTGCTAAATTACTGTCCCCTGCGTATCTCGGAGGCACATCTGGGGTGTGTTTGGGATGGGGACAGAGGTGCTGGTTTTGGGGAACGAGTACCAGAGACTGAATTGTCACCCACGGGGCATGGCATGGGGGTCTGGGTGCTCCTGGCAGCAGTGACAGCTCTGCTCCAGCCTGGCCAGGACATGCCTGTGCCTGGCCTCGTCCCTGACCTGCTCTGGCGGTGTCTCCAGCAGAGCCAGGCCAGGAAACAGCCTGCCGACACGAGGGATTGCAAACACGAGCAGAGCTCAAAGGACTGAGTTTCCTGTCCCTGTTCCTGTCTGAGCTGTGTCGGGGAGCGTGTGAAGCTGCACCCTCCCACCAGCCATGCTGGCTGTCCTGGAGCAGGCCATGCAGGAGAGCTGGTGCTGGGGGCTTGGGAGACCTGGGTTATGGGGTTGGAGGGATCCTTAGGGTAGGGAGGAATTTGGAGTTGGGCTTTGCCAGGCTGGAGGTGAGGGATTCAGCCAGCCCTGCGTGGCATTGCCCTGGTGCCTGCCAAACATCTGTACAGGGTCTCCTGCCGTGACTCCACTCCCACATCCGTGAAGTGGTTTTATCCTGCATCTCATGCTGCTGGGGCTGTGTCCTGTGCCCCTGGCTGGTGTGCAGGATGTGGCTCCCCAGGCAGGGATGGCTGGGCTCTCGGCTGGCGCTAAGCAGTTCCGTGCCGGTGGCTTAATTGGAGGCCATCTCCAAGGTCTGATAAAGCTACGTCTGTGGGAGCTCTGGGCTGCTGGGTTACGTCCTCGCTGCCAGGAGGAGTGATGACTCAGGGACCTCATCCAGGAAATGGGGGGCTGCTAACGTATCCCCCGCCCATGGGTTTGTTATCACTGAGTCCAGTGTGCCTGGGTTAATGACCGTGGTTTCTCTCTCTCTGCAGGC